GAGAGAGAGAGAGAGAGAGAGAGAGAGAGAGAGAGAGAGTCGAGAAGGGGAGGGGCAATGCTGTCATATGAATGAATGCAAGATGAGTTGACATGGAACAGTCAAAGAGCTGCTTGGTGATTGCAGCTTATTACCTTGTTGAGATTCAAGTTGCAATTCAATAAGATGACTGAAGTGGGCAATTGGTCTACGTTGCTCATCATCGGAGCGTGTATAGACGGATGACAATTGTGTGCAGCCATACAGAGGTGCCGATAATTCTCCTCGGCACTGCCATATACGCGTATCAAAATGGATCCAGTACTCTATCAATCTGCACAAGCATGGTGTACCAACGGCCCTACCTCAGTTGGCACGCCCATGAACTGTTGAAATACACACCCCAGTTCGCATCCAGATGATGGAGGTACACGACTGATTAGAAAGCAAAAAAAACAAAATCAGAAAATGACGAAAATCTGAACAACCATGGATATCAGTGGAAGATGAATGTCATTCTTTGTCCTCTCTGTAATCGTCTTTCACAGACTAAGCTCAACGAAAATCACATTGGCGTTCTTGAATCTCCATACAGAGGGGCTGATAATTCTCCTCGGCACCGCCATGTGCGCATATCAACATTGCTTTTTTTTTCTACTGAAACTGAAAAAGCACATCAACATTGCTGAAGTACCCAAAAGAAGAAAGAAAAAAGTACAACCTTCACAAGCATGCAGATCAGAGGAAGATGAATGTCATTGAATTTCTTTGTTCATCTCAGTAAATTGGCATTAAAATTTCTTTGTTCATCTCAGTAAATTACTAAATTGGCATTAAAATTTCTTTGTTCATCTCAGTAATTGGCATTAAATAGACTAAGCTGAGTAAGCTCAAGGAAAATCGCACTGGCTGACATTTATTGAATTTATTCAGTATTCAGCTGAAGGTAGAAAATAACGCTGGCATGTTGAATCTCACTGAGCCTGACAGTAGCATGCACGTGAAACGGTTTTCACCTGTCAGCAGTAGCGAGTGCAGATCCCAGGGCTTGATCCCTAGTTCTCACCTTACCTGTGTACAGTATCGGTGTTGACCCGGAGTGTTTGAACCCGTGACCTGTGTTTTGACAGTTGTTGTTGTCTGTCGTAGGTCGGTGTAGGGGTAGGGGTTTGATCTGTAGACCTGTCGGATAGGAGTCCCAGTGAGTTCTAGAAGTCGTAGCTGTAGCCTGTCCAAAGGGTCAAGGTCGTAGCTGCTACAGTCCTGAAAGGTCAAGGTTGTAGCTGCTACAGTACCGAAAGGCCAAGTCTACAGACTTCCGGAAGTGGCCTTTCGGAGTAGGTCCACGTTTAGACAGAGGCAAGGCAGTGCGACTGCAGCGAGGTTGCGGTCCAACCCCATGCAGTCAGCATTACGGTCCAGTCAGTCCCAGTCCAGTCCAGCAAGTCCCATACGGGACTGTGTGCACAATGGGCCGAGGGAAAAGGGCCAGACCAGCGAGCTACAGAAGTATAAATCAGGAGGCAGCGCCCAGCCATTCATTGATTCCTGCGTAAGCCATGCGGAAGCGCTGCCATAGCGACTTGTGCGAGGTGGTCTGCAGTGAGCCCGAAGACGAAGTGGGCGAGAAGGAGATAGCCATAGCCGCCATAGCTGTAGGTGTGTGTGAGTGTGTGCGCGAGGGTACGGAGTGTCGCGTGTGGGGTATCCAGGGTGATCCTGTGTGCGAACAGCAGTGTTGAGTGAGTGACGACAGAGAGTTGTACAGGCGATGTGCCGCCATAGCCAGCGGAAGTGAACTTGTATCTGAACTGAGTTCTTGGTACTATATCTCTGAGTTCTGAGTGTGCGCCTGGCGCCAGTTTACTGCGCAACCTGTTTGCATACGTGTGAAGTGTGAATGAGTGCGAGTCTGATTGCACACGAATCTTCAGCTCACAAATACACAACAACGAATATTTAGAGCATACTTACAGTAGGACTTCCCCGGACGTATCTGGGCCCAATTACAGCTGGTCCTGGATGTATCTGACCCCAAATTATGCTGAGAGATCAATCTAAAAAGTCCTAGTGTGAGTACCCCATTAGAGTGGCTGGGTGCTCTGGAACTGCAATGACAAACGCAGCGAGTGAGGGAGGGAGATGCTGTGGGAAAGCACGGCCTTGTCCGGGTGTGGGCCTCAGCAGCAGAGGCAGAAAGAACCGATGCTCAAAAGGCCGGAAACCCGTTTGTGACCACACAACTTTAAGCAATGAAGACTGATATCTCATTGGCAGAGCACATGTGCGCAACATTGTTTATTCCATTGTCATTCACTGAGAGATCATGGAAACAACAACAACACACAACAAACCGCCCATCTCCAGTCCTTCTTATCATTCACTGAGACATCATGGAAACAACAACAACACACAACACACAACAAGCAGCCCATCTCCAGTCCTTCTGGAAAATCTGTTAAAATTGGAACGGTACCGAGAAGATTAGCATGGCCCCTGTGAAAGGATGACATGCATACATCGAAAAGAAGAGGAAAAAAAAAAACAGCCCATCTTCAATCCCAGGACACAATGCTTCCTCAAAACCGATTGGTGCAACACCCAACACTACCTTACACACTCCCTCTGATTCCGTTTGCATTCAGTGCCTTCCTTCACTCTTTGTCTTTGAAATTGTCACGCGAGTTGCTGAATTGCAGGGTCCATTAGGTCTTAGTACTGAGTAGTCATCCTAGGGGCAGGCGCCACTGGTGCTATGTTCATGCCAGGAAGTAGCGAACCTGGCCGCTGTTATGGTCAGGCTCACGTTTTCTGAGCATGAACATAGCACCAAGGTGGTCTGCCCACTACTCAATAAATATCGAGCAGAGAATAGGGAGGGCTTGAAAGAGACAAGTCAGGTCAGGATAAATGCCACGTACGTATGGCTGTGTGAAAAGCCACAAGCAGCCATAATTTCTATGAGCAGGAGAAGGCGAATCGCACTTGGAGACGGTCCTGGTGGGTCTTCAAACTGCGCAACACCCACATTCTTCTGCAGAGAAGATGCCCTTCTCCCCCC